GCAACAATGCCTTCGAATGTACACCTTCAGAGCCACTTTTGTGAAAAAAATCAATTCTGCCACGAGGCTGTATTATGGAAGGAAGTTTCATGGATTACGTTTACAGTATGCCTCACATGAAACTGAACAAATTCGTTTCAAGATGAACGTAAATGTGTGTCATTATAAATATTTCCATAATCACTCGTTCATGCATCTGAAATGAAAGTGAGTAAAAGCATTAGAGGAAGATGTTCATTTGAGAGTAAACAGTGATCATGTAGATTAGCTATCCATGATATACGCATACATAGATGCTCGGTTATGAATTGACGTTAACAAGATTAAGATCGATATGTGTGTGTGCTTCAAAAGCACATAGCGTATTAAGCAAATGAATTAGGCATACAAGAGCTCACATATAATCCGAATCTCAAAGACATATTTATTAATTATTTAAACATAACTCCCATCTCATTTAGTAGAAGTAGCGCTTAGTTACTTTCATACATGTCACTCTAATTATGAGTTGCCTTTAGGGATCATCCGAATAATTACTACTCCTCCAATCTGTGTGCACGCTTCAGCATCGACACAAAATTGGATTGAGTTATGACCTATTGATGAGCAATAATATTCATAGAAGCTGGTACTGCACCGAACAGTTCTTTGGCATATCATATAATCTACTGTTTAGAGGCTGACAACGTTAATATACAATCAGTGAGGCAACAGAATGTTCTGTTGATATTTCAGGATAGGAGGAAGGATTTTATGCAGTGCTAGACGGATTATTCGGCAGCTATATGATGCGGTATCAAAATTGTTTCACTTTGTAATGTCTTTCTTAAAATCGCCGAGAATCGATAGTACTAATCCACTGCGGCGCCATTCGAATAGCTAAACATTTATAATTTCTCGATGTAAGAGTAATAAAACATTCGGTACTGATAGTGTTCTCAAAGTGGAGACTATTTGCAAATTTAACACCCAACAGTAGAACAATGAGCGACACCACTTACGCATGAAATGTGCAAATTCAGAATCCAGTTATCCAGTCGTAAAAGAAAACTGCACGTAGATCAAGTTGGTAAATTCCGACTGATGAGCTGCACTAATCGGACTGCAGCTAATTGAACATGCTTTATCAATAATTCAGAAAACACCTGGAAAAATCGGAAATCTTCACCACGTATATTCAGTATTTCGAAAAAAAAAACAAAACAAAAGCGATCCATAAGTAAGGAATAAAACTCGGAATAGCTTTGCGATACTACGCGATAAAATTTGCAACACTACCAATGATTTTGGCCATAACTAAAAAGCGTAATAACACTATACGTGAAACTAATTTGTGTCGTCATATTCACTGGAGGCAAGCTTCTCATTATTACTATAAGAGCACTTGCAATGAGACTCATTAGCCGTATCCGTTTATTAATTCTTAATAATGGCTATTGCATATCATCATGAGAAGAATTGTAATGCGAACATATGTGTCTCACTCAAATCACCACAATTTAACAAATTTTCTTGTAATCAAGCCAATATATAGCAGTTTCAACTCATCAATTTATCAAAGTTTCATTATCAGTTTGGAGAAAAGTTTCACAACATTTTAATACTCAAACATTTCGCGTATGTCTTTATCAGTGCACCAACAATTCAATATAAACAAATCTGTTCGTCGAATTTTATGTTTCGATCACTCATTATGATTAGCTAAAATTCATTAGCTGTAATTCAAAGTCGTTCATTACTATATTATATGACCTCTTCACATTTTCTCAGGTTTTGAACAATGAAGCTCTCTTTGATTCATAATTCAGTTTCCAAAAACCTAACTATTATTGAAGATAATCAGGATCTGAAGTATTTGTTGCGAACAACTGCAATGCACTAACATTAAGATTGATGTCAAATTTGAATAAATACCCATGTGATCTTCAGTTTTTTGGTGCATGCAAAGCATGTTTAACAAAATGTATTTCTGAGGTGTAATGTGATGAATGAAAAGGCAATACCCGAAGGGTCACTGATCAATTTACGATGATGTTTTAGTAGTCGTATTATGTGATGCTGACGTTTGTGTACACATAAATTAACCGAATTTATTAGTGCTTTTGAAATGCGCAACGTTGATTCAAAGAGACAATGCACGTTATATGGGTGTTCTTATTACCCAACTGAACACACCTTCAAACAATACAGTTGGCATATACATGAGCGTTATTTTAGAAGATCAAATGACTCACCGCCTTCTGATTTGTACGTCACAAAACTTGACGCATTTGCCGAAGAGAGATCACGTCTGAGGGATTTGAGTTCACTGCATCTTACTATAAACATGCACAAATAAGTATGCATACAAACATATATCACTCACTGTATTCACATTTAATGTACTTATAATTATTCGAATGGCTAACTTCATCTCCTTATCCGATAATCCAATAACAAACATCCTCTTACACCAGATTAAACTTCTAGGTTGATTCGAATGGTTCAAAAAGGAACAATTTATTCTAGGCTTTGAGTTTTCAGCCGCAGATGAAATACAATTCTTCCAATGATTTCTGATCAAGAATTGGACTCACCATCAGTTTGCATTCACTAGTACCAGAGCAAAATCTGTTCCATCTTTCTGTTCTCCATGAAAATTCCATTTTTCTGTTCTCCATGGAGTGAATATCAGAAGTAGGCCGAAATATGTGCTCAATTCAGACGCATGCACCAACTGAGTCAGGAAATTAGACTTGAACTTTAGCGTGAAAAATATGAGCAACCGTTTAAAAAGACAGACGCCACCTACTCCCCTTACGGTCCTTGGTGATCATAGCTCAGCTTTTTGTTCAAATTGCGAATGGGATCTGAGTTCTTAAATATTTCCGCATACAATCCAGAAATGTTCACAAGATTGAGTAGAAAACCAGCAATGATTTTGCATGTGATTGTGAGTGAGGGTTTTATTCATCGTGAGAACTCTTTTTTAAATCACTTATCAACTGCAACTCGACTGATTGTACTCTACGAGAGCGATACACTGAAAGTAACGTCAAGCACTATTGCTTTAACATTCGGAGTATACCTTATTTGAGATTCACCTGTGCTGATAGTTCTCAGGTTTCTACGCTGCGTTCCTCTTTGGTTTCCATTGGCTGCATGATAAATAACCAATCCCTTCTGCAACACTTTATATGATCACATTTCTTCGTCTTTTCTAACAATGTGTTATTTCTCTTTGACGAATTTTTAAAAAAAATCAGAAAATCGTTTCATTGATCAAGAAGTTTACTGTCGATTCTAACAGATGAATAATTCCTTGTGATCAAACAAGCATTTTGAAAATATTATTAATCAACTATGGAGCAACTGTGAAACGAAAAATCAATGAACAGTGATTTGGCCATCTTATTAATTCTCTCTTTGATATTCTCAAATACTTCACCAAAATGAATTTCCTATCTTCCTTGGGGATTACTGATCCTCGATGAAATTGAAATTTGCATAAGTCAAGTAAATGAAGTCTTGCTAAATTGAAGTCTTGCTGACGTAAAAATTTGCATGGAGGTAAAATACAGGCAACGTTTAGTTTATCGTTTATGCTAGAATTTACTTTTGAACCGTCCAAAACTTTTTTGCTTTAAGTTTAAATCCTGTTGTCCTGTGAAAACTTTCCACACTGACAGTCACTGTTGATTCTTGAATCAAAACTCTTGAAGGTCGGTTAACCTTTCTTCAGCGTACTGTGAGAAAATGTCTGGTGATGAGAAATTTTGAATGCCATTATCGGTAAACTTTGAAGTGCAGGTAGAGCATTAGTTCAGTGAATGGAAATCTTGGTAGAGTAAAAAGTAAAGCGCATTTCAACAAATTTTGGAATCTGAAATTTGAAACTCGTTCAGTTTGTTGTACAGGTGTAATATTGCGTACGATTCCAATTGCCGCAATAAGCGGAGAATCCATGCCACTGTTCCCATTTGTTTCAATTTTTGAACCTCTTTATCAAGAGCTTGAAATAAAGTAAGGATAATCTATAGTTTTGAAAGTCTTCACACATGGCAGCACTGATATCAATTACTGCGAACAATGCTTTGTTATGAACGAGCGATTTTATATGCACTTGATTTCCTCAAAACGAACGTTGCTATATTTTGGCAGTTCAAAAAAGTGGTGATCAATCGTGAATTAATCTGCAGGGTTCAACGAAGATGGTTGGCAATCGTGTATGGTATAATGGCGTCGTCGCACTTCGCCATACAAACGCGTCTGAGCGCAGGGGCGGANAAAAAACTTGAGCGGTCTGAGAGTGGAAAATTTGCATTTGAATACAGGAAGTACCCAATTTCAGGTTGAAGGAAAGAGATTCAACCGGAGAAGTTATGCACATCTTATAGAGCTTGAAAAGTTGTATCAGATAATACAGATGAGCTTTTTTATTTGGAAAAAACGTAGGCACTTTTTGGGGGTTTGAATCGTTTACGCTACCGAATGCAATGAGAGCAGTTCGTTAGCAGAGGTGAGCAAGGAACAACGTTTCATTTTTCGTAAGTGAGCGTTTTTGTCCATGAATTTATTCAGAACAAGTAGTGAGCGGATGTCTACTCTTGCAGAGCTGCCGTAGTTCGTATTAACTCAAACCCAAATGAACCCTTGCAACTTTGAATATTAAAAGTCGTCAGCCAAATATTAGAGACAATTAACCGTTGGATACCAAAAATCGCGGCCGAAGCCAATGGGAAATTGGATGAGTGATCAGTCTAAATCATAGGTTCCCAGACTCAACCAACCCAACACTCTTCTTTGAATAAATCATTCCCTATTACGTTCCGAAAGAACATCACTTTCAGTCGTACAAATGGTGATAATGCACTGGTGAGTGTTGATCCAGCTATAACTATATAGCCCTCTCATGTATCTAGCCCTTCAATTAATTGTGTTGAGAGACGAGGGGCCAAACCAGTGCAAGTTTTAAATTAATTCATAATCGCATGTTTATAATTCAGGTGTAAAAGGATCAAATGAAACCGTACTACGCGGTTGCTCGCGGTAGAACGCGAGGTGTGTATAGGACGTGGCCAGAATGCGAAAAATCTGTGAAAGGATTTACTGGCGCAAAGTTAGTTTTTTGTTTATTCATAGTTGAACTCTATGAACGATTCACTGGGTGTTTCAGTGGGATCGGTCTGGTCATTTTTCGACTTTTAAGATTGGTGTGTGTGTGCGTGGTAGATTTGCATGATCCTACGATATCAGATAAAAGGGGTTAAAAGGATCGACATCATTAATATTCGAATAGGAATCGTCTGTACTAAGTGATTGTAAGAGATCGTTCAAGGAACTGATGATGCTTCAATGGAACATTTTGTAATCACTGTGAGTGGCTGTATAATTTGTTTTAAGGTTCAAGAAATTCAGCAGCGAACGTGAAGCGCTCGACTTCATCAATGCCAACAAAGAAGGATGTGTCCCTTTGGCAGGTGCATTTTCTCATTAACGTTGATTTGAAGGTGTTTCAACATCAGACTGTATTTTTCATTGAATTGTTGCTAGTTTATTGAAAATCACGGCTCTCGGAAAGGCTTTGGAGGAGGGTGGCTGAGAACAGCGTAATTCATCAATCCCTGTCAAAGCCAGTGGATACTAACAACAAGTGATGTAATTTTGGCATCGCTATATCAGCTTGACTGTTTCACGTATTCAGTTTTGTCGAAAAGTGAAATTCTTGAACAGTTCAATCTAATCATCCTAGCAACATCGTGACAGAATGGAAATTTTGACCTTCTCTTGCCTAACCATTTTTTTCCATCACATTTGTTTCGCTTAACATCGTTCATTCCTGTCGTTAATAATCACTGTTAAGACTTCACTGTGTACATTTCATCCGCAGATGGTTACCTCCAAGAATGATTACGCCATCTTCTCCATGATTCATTCCCGTTCATTGCAGTTAAACAACCAGCTGTAACGACTTCATCCTCGTCAGGTGCTCTCAAACCATCGAACAGTGGTCGTATTCAGAAAAGACTCGTTCCAAGAAAAAACATTCTTCATCTGAAAAAGAAAGCGCTGTTCGCATTTTATTTCTTTTTCCTCTTGGTTCACCTTATCTTTTGAAATCTTTTTTGTGGCTTGACAATATGTTACTGTTTGTCACCTTCTTTCTTTCCATGAATTGTGCTGCTTTCTGATGGATCTTTCATGGATTTATCTTTATCATGTATAGTTTAACTGCATCGGCTACCAATGGAAGGTTCTCGACTGCGCGTGAAGTTTTATTCATCAGTTTTTTTAGCGTTTGTCAGATGATGATTGAAAAACAAATTATGAATGGCCTACTTATTCAGGAATATGACATGAACAATAGCTATTCGTTTACGGTACAGCGTCGAAACCAAATGCTGTCAATAATGTTTAAGTGAAAGAAAGCAATCCAGGTGTAAAACGGATGTGGATGAGTGGAGGTCACAAGGTGTTCCAGTAGTGTATACAGATGGTGCTTGCTCATCAAATGGTCGTCGTGGTGCCAAAGCTGGAATTGGTGTGTTCTGGGGTGATAACAGCCCTGACAACGTATCACAACCACTCGCATCTGGACCTCCAACCAATAATCGTGCCGAGCTTTCGGCTGTTATTGCTGCTTTGAAAACGGTATTCATGTCGTCATAACATCATGGAAATACATTTATTGAACTGATATCTTTCATAAACGTTTGAATTTATCCCTTCAATTTCAGTGTTTTATCACTTCATTTCTACATGCTTTCACTTTTCAGGCCCATGAAAAGAACTTAACCAGACTGATCATCTGTACGGATTCAAATCTTTTGATTCAGTCGATGAATTCCTGGATCAAGAATTGGCGAAAGAATGGCTGGAAAACAGCGAATGGTGAAGACGTTAAAAATAAGGATCTTATTGTTGAGTTGGATACGTGGTTGAATAGAATCGAGGTGCATTTCGTTGAAAACACTTTAATTTTCATTGCCTTCCGATGAAAATTACTGACAGTCTTGAGCAGAAATTATACCTAAAGTTTTATGTTGCGAAATGAGTTTGTGATTGGATATGACATTGTTTCGTACCATTCGCTTCATCGTAGTGCGTCAAATTTTGATAAACGGAATCTCCGTCAAAGTCGTTTAATGTGTGGCAGGCAAAAGAGGGAGTGTTTGACTCTCGTCACAGTTGCATTAGTTCGAGTGATATCATGTTACCCTCTTTTTTATGAGTTGCATTTTAGTGACTATCATTCATTAATCACAGGTACGTTTTGAACACGTCGCTGGGCATGCCGGTATATACGGGAATGAAAAAGCTGATGAATTGGCTAGAAATGGTGCAGTCAGATATGGCGGATGAGATGATTGATTCTTTTGTGTGAGTACTTCATTGCTAATTAGTGCATTGTGTTTTATCGCTTTTTGTTTCAAAGTTTCTCTTTTGTTGGATGGTTTTTTATAAGTGTGCATTTATGTGATTGTACAGTATGCGATTGGTTCATTGCACGGTTTACGAGTGATCGTTGATGGATAATACTGTGTTGGACATTCCCGATCCAGTTTGTTTATGAATAAAAATATTTATCATCCGTCACAATCAACATCAGTGTGCGATAGTTGCACATTCTACATTTCTGATAAGTTAAACGATTGTTGCATCACCTAATAGTTTGTGAACTGAGCTATAAGATAACTGACCTCAAGCATAATAGCAGTATGAGTATGGATGACTGGATTTTGAAAATATCTCTTCGCAGTGCTGAAGCTTCCCGCATATTGAATACAGGGGTTTTAGTAATTTCGACAAAGCAATTTACACTGACACCGATATTCTTTTCATTTTACATTTGTTATCTTTTATATCAGTGATGAAATCTTTTTTTGATTGAGAAGAATTGTTTGAACATTATTTGTGAAGCATTAAATTAGTGTATGGCAATTCTACGGTTTACTGAAGTGTTCTTCTCTTTGAAAAAATCTAGCAGCGAACAATAGAGGAATATAACCTGGGGTTTGGTTTGAGAAATGAGTGTGCGAATGCTTCGTGGTTTTTGATCAATTTGTCACAATGAATGTAATTAGACAGCACAAGTTTCATCAGCGTGAAAAATGTTCCCGTAATTCTTACTAATGAAGAGATTCTGTGTTGCTGTTTACAATGTATGAGATTGAAGAAACTGTGGGATTTATCTTGTACTTTAAAATAATGTTTGAGTGATGGACTCGCTGTATAGTATTCGTTCACCGTCCATGTAATTAATTGTTTTGATTAATCCATTGGAATCTTTTCATCGCGTTCATCTGACTACATTTCAGCAACACATGGTGCAATTCATCATACGTCTAGCGAACCCTCATCTCATTTCGTAGAAAGATGGGGCTGTTGAAATGCGGCGTTTCCTTGCTCGTTAAAAAATCTTTCTGAAAGCGGTACTTCCGCGTCGAACCTCCCTCCGTTCTCATTTCGAACCGTAATTGAGTCCATTAATCTTCTAAAATGTAACGATTAGAAACAATATGTGAGCACCTGTTTTGTATGAGAATCTGTGCGATGGAAGTAAACCGAATCGTTTCAGTCACGTTTTGTCATGAACATAATGAGTCGAAAATCGCATTAAAGTGAACCAATGAAATTTTCAGACGTACCCCGAAAAGTGCTGAAACAGGTTGCATTATGCAGTATCTTACTGTAACAGAAGCGGAATGCAGTGATGAATTTATTCAATCGTTACATTTCCTCTCTGCATACGGTCTTTGTACCCTCGTTATATTCATGCTAATATTTTTGGTTTATCTGTCGAACGCACAATTGCGCAAAAGCTGTTTGCTTATGACGGTATTGTGTTTTGCTGAATGCATCAATGGAGTGGTTTTTGTTCTTTTCGGTTCGTTTCTCTTTCTGTTTGCGTATCAAAATATAGATCTTCCTCAAATTTGGTGAAAACTTGAGATTTGTTCAGAATTTTTCAAATAATTTGCACAGTGAGAAATAGATTAAGGCATTAATATTCACTGATGTAGATTAACGACGATTAGTGCATGTTTGGTTCACATATCGGTCATTTTCAAATGATGAATGAAGCTAGCAAGAAAATTAATTCGATCAGCAATGAATGGATGATTTCATTGTTCTGTTCAAAAATTTCAACGTAGATCTGACTGTTGAAGATAACTGAAAGTTCAAGTGATTACCCACTTGATTGAATTGAAAGAATTTGCTATCTGGAAAAGAAAAGCTTCGAGTGCAACTTGCCTGATGAGCACTGTCCCATTGCAGAATCACATTTCAAAGAATCATGCACATCCTCACCCTAAATTTCTTTATGGAATGATCATTGAAAAAGTTATTTCATGCAGTATTTGAACGAGAACAACTGTGCACCAATGCACATGGTATACTACCTTGGAATGCGGTCGGCTGCTCGTTATGGCCCGATCCAATAGTGACGATCATGGGTCATCAGTGGCCTGCATATCTTACATTCGTTCTCGGCATTGATCGCTTTTTTGCGGTTGCTTTACCGATTTGGCATGAAAATGTTTTCGTTAAGTATGTATTCGCTTAATCATTTGTTAATCACTTCACGAGATCCCTTGTTCGGAAGTAATACCTCAGTTCCGTTGATTTCTGTCGTTATAGTCATGCTTACGGTTGGGCTAGTGACCAGCGATCCGTATGCAGGCTTTGCCACTGTTCAGTGTTTGCCGCTGCGTTGATAGCCATCGAAACTTGGTGACCCCGAATTTCGGTCGGTGGTCACGAATTTCGGTCGGTGATCACCAATAAGCTAGAATTTCAGTGTGATCGACCAAAGATGACCGACTCAGAACGTATTTTGTCGATAACCAACGATAAGGTGTTTGTTCTAGGAATGCTGGGAAAAGCCTTTGAGTTCCCAGCTCTAGCCATGTTGCTGATCGTTTTCAGACGTATAAATGTATGAGATATAAAGCAATTCAATGCAGACGTATCTGAAGGAGAAATCTGATCTTCCACTTAACAATTTCAGTACACAGTTGAAAGAATTTCATTCCGCACAACACTATCAGATCAACCTCTAACCGATTTCCTCCGGAGTTTCCCATGATATTAGCCGCATGGCTTGTTCATATGTGATGCTGCAGCAATATCAGTTTTATGACACGTAGAAACTGGCATATTCCAAACGTCTTGGAAAAAACTTACGTTATGCTGTTCACGGTTCAGAAGTGGGTAATTCCAAACGCAGCTCACTGAGCTTGCTCAACACCTTCAGACGAAAGCTGGGTCAGCTAAAAAGGTGAAATAACTCAGCACCAGGTTATATTCGGCACACTTGAAGGGCATGCCATTGGTCAGTCATGTGTTCTCGGAATGGTATGCGGCTCATCATATAGCTTCGGAAACGTTTAAGTGCCATCCTTTGTAAGCTCATGGCTGAGCAAGCATTGGTTAATTTGAGGTTAAAAAGTAATGAATAGGCAAAAATAAAATTGATTCGTGAAGAAGTTCCACCTTTCTCAGTTGGCAAACTTGGCTCGACGGGATTTTGAAAATTCAAATTGCAGTAAACAGTTCGAGATAGCTGTATTGACAGTGGCGTGTGTTATTGCATCGCTATTGATGGCATTTCTGTATGCGATGTATACATCATTTGACGGTGACTCACTGCAGTGTAACATCGTGCCCCCATTCGAATTCTTTTATGCGTATGGTTTTATAGTAGTTCTTAATACCTCATCCAAGGAGGTTTAGCATGACATAATTCGACAATCCTATCATGTGATGATTCTGAGTCACTGATGTGTTCACGCAAGTAGAGATTAGGAAATAGTAATGGCAACACAAATATGATATGCCACAGTTTATAAATAATTGAATTCTGTCACAACGTAACTCATTCTTATGAATGAGAATAAATTTTGAGGCATCATATCTAAACTGAAGCCAATTCCGGATATTCGGAGACATGTCATGTGCAGATGATTGCACGCAGGTCGATATATAATTCGGACTAAGTTCATCTGTTTTTGATGTTCTTATTGTTAGGTGATTGTCTTCAATGACTGGACAATAATAATGTTTTGTTCAGTAGTTTCAACTATATGATTGTAATAGCAATGCATTTATGTGGATTCATCCTGAACTCAAGTGCGTATTTCGCAGCTAGAAGATTGGCTTCACGGAGATTCGTTAAAATTGAACTCATCAGAACGAGGTTTGAAAATTTCTTCTGAATCTGTTCTAAATGGATTCGTACAACGTGTTCTACTCCATCAAAAGATAACGCCACATGCGACATCTGATTTCAGTCGACTTTATTTGCATTAATTCGATTTGAACTCAACTTTGAACGCATGTAGAAATAAGAACGAATCAATGAATAATTTAAGATCGATATGGTTGGCATCTGTTTTGTCAGTGGTGCTTGTTTGTGTACCGACCACTAATTGTTGGTTTGAATTCATCAGTGGATCGGAGCACAACACTCATGCTTTCATTGACTTCGCGTTCTGTATTCGATATTCCATTGATATTTTCATATTTGGATTTATGAACGCTGACTTCAGAAGACAGTTCCATGAGGTAAACATTACATCACAATGATCAAATTTCTTATCGTTCTAAAACAGTCGCACATTTTGCTCGACCACGTGGAACAGCTGCACTCGAATGCTACGAGTCGTCATGAAAATATCTGTCTTCTGGTAGACGCGCTTATGCGAAGAGCTGTTTGCTAATAATATTTCAGTAAATTCTCAAATCCTTAATGTTTTAGATATTTTCATCGTTCTCAAAGCGAATGGCAAAGATATCATCGACAGTCAGTTCCACTACAGCGTCAGTGCAGAGTCGAAGTAACACCGTTCCGGGCATCAGAGTATCGAATAAGTGAAGTGTGGAGGTGCAGGATGGATGTCAGAATTAGTGTTCGTCTCGAAGTACAGGAAGGTGCCTCGTTGGGTACTAGGAGTAGGCGGGAGGGGTCTTCATGGAAAGAATGTGTTTAGAAGACCCGACAGAACCGATGAGCGAAATTATCGGAGTGGGTATCCGTCGAGATTTGACTAAGTCGGGTAGTTGCTATCGAAGCAATTTTGAAAGAAATTCCTGCCTCCGAAGTAAAAACGAAAATGTAATCCAGTGCGATAGTCTAAATTGTTGGCTCAAACTGATAAGTTGTAAATCTTAGAAGGCCACTGCCTCCAATTTAGGTGACAGCATCAACTGAAAAATAGTTAACTGATGTAACTAACAAAAAATGATTAATTGAGAATAAGTGTAATGCAATAAAAAATACATATTGGTTGATAAGTTGTTGCTTGCAACAAAAATTCATAATGATTAATATATTTGTAGTGGTATGTTGCAGATTCATT